AGTTTAAAATGTCACTGCGTTATTAAGATGTCTGAGTTCCATTATCTGAAGATCGCGACCGGCGACAGACTGCGTATAGGCCTACTTCAATTTTCCACTTTCTATAAATAACTTTTCGCACGTGTATTTTTGTTGTATAAATAAATTTGCGTTAGTCAAGGTTTTGCTGTATTTATAATTGCATGGAACAGATGGCAGTATGATACGTAAACATACAATAAAATGTAAAAACAGATGAAAAAGAAAGTGTGACGCATATGACCATTGCTGGGCAACGACTCTGTGAAATATACCCGAGGATACACTCTCAACAATAGAAGAACGTCCGTTGCTGGGTAACGGGTCGCTAGACATGTTCTCGCAGCAACGAATAAGCACACAGCAGAACAACTGTTGGAGGTGGCGACTTATATTAGGTCCTTCCCGAAATTATAAAGTGGGTACACGTAAGAACACATTCGTTTGTAAGAGAGTTCAGGCAGTTCAGTACATGAGTTCAGTGTTCAGCTGTGGAGTGTTAACCAGCGGACAACGGAAGCTGAAGAAGTGACCGATTGGTAAATCAGAACCAAGTCAATCACAGTAGAACAGAAGACACTCGTAGTCCAGGAAGGAATGGAGCGAGTCTCAGAGAGACATTGATTGTGAGCTGTTGTAAATTATTGTAATTAAGACTAATTGTAAAAAAGGCACCAATAAATCCAATCATCCAATCCAAATCCCGTCATTATTAGTCACGGAAACCCGGACGGGTACGCGGTGGCGTAGTTGGTTAAGGCACTGTGCTACAAGCCGGAAGGTTGTGGGTTCGAGTCCCGATGAGGTGGATTTCTAAATTTACCTAATCCAGCCGCACTATGACCCTAGGGTCGACTCAGCCTCTAACAGAACTCTTCCTGGGGAGTAAAGGTGCGGCCGGAGCGTAAGGCTGACAACCTTACCGCCATCTGTGAGCCGATTGTCTGAAAAATGTGGGAGCCTCGACCTCTCACAACCCTATGGGCCTCCACGGCCTTTACCTTTTACCCTGGACACGTGACAAGAATAAGAAGAGAGAAATAAGAAAATGAAATGAAGGGAATGTGGAATGATCATTTAAGACGGAAAAGTCAGTTCTGGTTAACCCATAAATTTAGACATAAAATGACAATGCTTTGATGTTTTGTTGCCCTTACAGTTGATTGAGATCCGTTAAAAAAGCCGCTACTCATCGCTTGATACTCTCGTTATAATGTAGTTAGCCTGTAACAATTATAATTTCCCATTCATCACGTTACTGTGGGATACTGTGTCCGGCTAATCTGGCTGCGCGCGCACCGGTTAACTCAGCCGTCCGTTTCTTCCCCGCAACAGTGCGCCGTAACTCAATCAACAGCCCCTCAGCTGCTAATGCGGAACCACAGAACGGCAAACACTGTCCATGTTCATATGAATGATGTACAAGGGGAGGTTGGTGCATATTATCGGCTTATATATGGAACGAAAATGTTCAAAGTTATTAAAAATACGCGGTAGCATAGTTGGTTGAGGTACAAGCAGGAAGATCACGGGTTGGTTTGATTCCCAATGAGGTCACTGTTTTTTTTTCTTCAATTGACCTAAAGCCGCAATATGGCCCTTGGGTCGACTCAGCAACTAACAGAAATGAGTACCAGGAATATTCCTCGGGGGTAAAGGGCGGCCAGCGCGTGTAAGGTTGAGAAATGTACCGCCATCTATGAACCGATTGTCTACAAAGTGTGGGAACCTCGAAGTCTCACAAACCTATGGGCCTTCACGGCCTGTTACAGGGATGTCTTTACCTTTATCTTTATTGTAGTTCATTATCCTGTTGCATGATTACTCCGGTCTAGAAAGCAGAGATTAACGGCCATGGGGATCCGTTGCGCTGACCACACCCTCTATCCGCTATAGTTGGTACTTGTTTCGCCGATAAGCGGCGGTCTCTCAGTCGGTATAGTTCGCTTGTGGACTAAAACCACGGAGTTTTTTTTTTGTTGTTGCATCATTACATATTTCCGTCACAATGCAACATGAGAAGCTGGCTGCATGCACAGAACAGAAAAGAACGCACTACACAAGCAGGGTATTGGGCCTACAGACAAAGAGACATATGTAGAAGAAACCAACATACACATCAACATCAACGAACAACATGAAATACGCCCACGCCGCCGAAGATTGTGCTAATAGATCTCACAAGCAGATCTAAGCTGCTTTTACTAAATTTAATAGGGTGACCTATTTCAATTTTAATTTTAATCACAATTTTAAAATTGAAACTAATAGTGCAGTGAACAATTTAGCATAACGAGGACACCTGATGATGGCTCTATACGACCGAAACATGTCATGAATAAAGATTAAAGTTACTGTAACAATCCTGTGTTTGCAGTGTTTTGGAAATCGATGAAATAAATTTTCTGTTGACATTTGTATCTTCTGGGATGTGTCAGCACATAGTGTCGTAGTCGTTTACCAACGATTCGAAAGAATATTTCAGCTCTGTCTTCAAGGTAGAAGAATAAGACGAGCAAGTAAACAAGCAGGAAGGAGACAGCGTGTTCCTAAAAAAATTCAATACAATTCTAACGGACATTCCGACGTCACATCCCAGCAGAGAGTAAGAACCCAACATATAACAACGTTGTCCAAAGTTAACAATTTTTATCCCGTCTAAGTTGGAGCCGGGATAGCTCAGTCGGTAGAGCGACTGGCTACGGGCTGGACTGGTCGGAGTTCGATTACCGATAAAATCCAGAATTTTCTCTTTTCCACGTCGCCCAGACCGGCTCTGGAATCCAACCAACCTCCTATCCAATAGATATTGGGGGCTCTTTCCAAGGAGGTAAAGCGGCCGAGGCGTGAAGCTGACCACTCACCTCCAACTAGTGTCTAGGTCAAGAAAATATGGATCTATACATCCACTCCCCCATACGTCTTCATGGCGGAGCGTTTAATTTAGTTAAGCGCAAGGACAATTTTTATCCCGTGTAAGTAGATAAGTTAGGCCGCGCCATAGCTCAAGCGGTTAGTCGCTGGCTTCCCACCGCTGCGGCCCGGGTTCGATCCCGGGTCTGATCAAGTGGGATTTGTAGTAGAAAAAGTGGCGCTGGGGCAGGTTTTCTCCGAGTACTTCGGTTCCCCTGCCAATCTTAATTCCACCAATTGCTCCACAATCACCCTCACCTATCATCTGGGGCTGGTACAATAGGCCAGAAGTGGCCGCAGCACAAGGGACTTAGTCCCACCCCACTAGCAATAAAAAAAAGTAGATAAGTTTTCTTTGTGGGTAATTTAATGACGCTCCAAGTATCTAGACTACATTGCTTCCGAGGGTAAGATGACGGATGATGAATATGTATCCTCACGGAATGAAGGAAACAAAGAACCAGTCTCGGTTAGAAGAGCGGTTGTTGCAGACGAAATTCTAACCAAGTATCTCCCGACTACAAGTCTAGAACGTTACTCTAGCTCAGTGTATTCAGTTCCATCTAGATATGACAGACGTAAAGTAGTATTTTTAAAACGAGTTTTTTAGGAATCTGTACGAAGTGAGGTTCAACTTCAGTTTTTGTAAACGCATAACAAAATGACCACTCCTTCACAGCCTCCATGGTTTTGCATGTATAAAGATTTGTGAAGAAAAGAAGTTTACGGAAGGTGATTCCCTTTGGATTGTTAAGTGGATTTCAATATTTTTATAGTACTTAAATAGAAATAACAGAAGTTTCGGAAAAAGAAACCAATTCTGCAGAGAAACTCGCATGAGATAGTCATATACGTTACATTTCAAGTTTCCTTTTGGAGTTTTCAATATAGTAAAATAATCATTTTCCGCCTTGATAGTACAGTCATTAAAAATAATATTTCAGTACAATTGTTTATGACACCACCGTAAGGACTAAACTTACTGCAATGACGTTACAAGAGCAAACATGAATATGCAAGCAGCAGGAGCAGACACGAATGGCAACACCACCCTTGTGATGTTGAGGGTAGGGTAAATTTGTCCCTGTGCTTAACTAATTAAATGCTACGACATGAAGGCGTATGGGGTAGTGGATATATAGATCGACATTTTCTTGACCTCTGCATTAGTTGGAGGTGAGTGGTCAGCTTCACGCACCGGCTGCTTTACCTCCGGGGAAAGAGCCCCCGGTATCCATTGGATAGGAGGTTGGCTGGTCCCCACAGCCGGTCTGGACGACATGGAGAAGAGAAAAATCTTGACCCTACAGGGAATCGAACTCTGGCTCCTCAGTTGTCCAGCCCGTAGCCAGGCGCTATACCGACTGAGCTAGCCAGGCTCCTATTTCAATAACAAAAAAATAATTTAATGGAATTTCCTGAAGTTCATCCCAAACATTGACTGAAACATGTGGCAACCATTAAATAAAACGAACGTAAACAGTTCGATTGGTGTATTTTTTATTGTTGTGTTGACGGCCAGAATACTGCAAATTCCAATCAGGCGTAGATTGGAGTAGATTCGGCCTTAGAAATGTCTTTCATGGGAAGGATTTGAAAAAAGAGGTATTGGTTTAAATGAGTCATTGTACTAACGTAACATTTCTCTGGAAAAACAACAGAAAAGTTGATAAACTTCAATGCTTACAGGTGGAGGAGCCGGGATAGCGCAGTCAGTATAGCGACTGGCTACGGGCTGCACGTGAGGAGCCGGGATAGCGCAGTCAATATAGCGACTGGCTACTTGCTGGACGACGGAGGGGTCGGAGTTCGAGTCTCGGTAGGCTCAAGAATTTTATCTTCTCCAGATCATTCAGACCGGCTCTGGGGTCCACCCAACCTCCAATCCAATGGGTACCGGGAGCGCTTTCCACTGGGGTAAAGCTACCGGGACGTGAAGCTGACCACTCACCTCCAACTAGTTCCGAGGTCAAGGAAATATGGATCTATACATCCACTCCCCCATACGCCCTCATTACATAGAGCTTAATTAGATAAGTACAAGCAAAACTTTATCTTTTTACTTACAGGTGGTGTTCCGGGTGAGAATCGAACCGAGAGTCTCCCAAATACAAGTTTAGAACATTACCACTACACCAAAGTGCTCAGTGTCCGAGCCGAGATTCGAATCGCGTATCTACGAAATACAAGATAGAAGAATTACCATTTGGGAGAACTTGACCCGTAAGTTATGAGCCAAACTCAGTAAGTCTGACACCGGCTCGGCCATTTCCAATTCCACGAAAATGTCCGGAAGTGGGTAGACAGCCCTTTTTCTCTCTCTCTTTGCAAATGTGCGTTCTGAATATTTAAATCTCTTTTCAATCCATTATCTCTTACACGACTTCGTCTTTTAATCCTGTTCTTGCTCCACCGCTTCTCTAATGGCGAAATGTGGTAAAGCGTGGGGAGAAGCCCTGGAAACCAATCGACTGACAGGAGAAGGGGAACAACTGTTCTGCACCAGTGTTGCCACAATTGTCTACGTGAGTGCCTGCCATTCTGTGCAGCATCTGGCAACACTAGTGACATAGCGAGTGTCGGACTGACCACGCGACACCCTCTGTCCCCTAAAGTTGGCACTAACTTCGCCGACAAGCAGCGGTTTCTCGGTCGGTATAGTTCGCTTGCCGACTAAAATCAAAATCTGACATCATGTCTGATAAATTGCTGCTGGCCTTCGTCAGCACAGTAATTTTCTTGTGTCCGAGTCTCATTGGTATCAAGATCATATTAAATTATTATAAGGTCGCGGGTTCAAATCCCGATGAGGTCATTGGATTTTTTTCAGTTGACCTAATCCTTCCAGCCTCACTAGGCCCTGGGGTTTACTCAGTCTCTAACAGAAATGGGTACCAGGAATTAATTAAATAATTTTCTTGGGGAGTAAAGTGCGGCCGGCGCGTAAGGCTGACAACCTTACCGCCATCTTTGAGCCGATTGTCTAGAAAACGTGGGAGCCTCGACGTCTCACAACCCTATGGGCCTTCGCGGCCTGGTACAGGCATAGCTTTATTTTACTTTGAATTATTATTGAATGACGGCTCTGGGAACCTTCGGTCAACATCTCCTTGGGCAGACATTGAATATAATTACTTATACAAGATTGGCCTTTACTACGTTACCTCTCAAACGAAATCGATAGTTGCTCAACAGGCCCTTGCTGGTTAATGAATACCGAACAGAAAAGAAATCCATTCCTACCAAACCGTGATGTTCACATTTCAGGGCAAATGCTCTCATGGTCTGTAAGATCATAATGCAAATGTCCACAGGTGTGAGGAGTATTTGTGTCATAAAAATATGTTTCACACACAGAACTTTCGGTAAAGCGAGTAATAAGAGAAACAGATGCGCCTATCTTTGGTTCCTTAAACCTGTGTATTAATGTCAGGAGGTTACTTGAAGATAATCACACTGATTTGGGATAATTGCCTTCATTCTGTGTTTGTGTTGTCCTGCGTGTAGGTAGCGGCCTCGCGACGGGCTGATCACTCGTTCAAGGAGACCTACCCTCTGTGTAGAACAGATTACGTAGATGACGAAGAAGAGGTCAGGCCCCAACATAGGGCTGTAGAGCCACTGATGAATGAATGAATGAAATGCTCCAGATTACTTCATTAGTTCATGCCATATAATCTGTTATATTATTCCAAACGTTTCGGAGGAAATATCTACCTCCGTCATCATGGCAGAAAGTTCTACCCGGCTACGGGACATTACATTCTATGAGGTGACAATTTTCACCAAACCTCACATTTCGTCGATATCATGGTAGTGTTTTTACAGAACTGGTTCTTGTACGGTAAACATTCTGTGCATATATTTGGGATACATCCAGTATATCTGTTGTGAGTGAAGATTTTCGAGGTTTTCTTCGGTCCCTACAGGTTACTAATGTAATAATACCGCGAAGAAATCCATTTATTTCTAAATAATTATGTGAAAACTATGAACTACTATTTCATACAATATTTGCAGTTCAAACAGCCTCGTTAAACAAAGTTATGTATTTTTGTATGAGTTGACGTTCCCATAGTGATGTCTGTGGATAGTAGTGTCTTCTTGGATGTGACGCCGTACAGTCAGAATTTTATCCTATGTTGAGGACGAACTTACCGCATCCACCTTCAGGATCGAAAAGTAAACCAATCAAGCGAAAATCTTTGTTTGTTGCTTGATTCTTACTGACATCTAGAATTACTCTTCGGTTCTGAAGATGTGGGAATTATGTAAGATTTGAGTTTTTCACGGCGATGACTATGAAGAATGCCGTCCTCTGAGATGTGGCGCCATGTAGATAGTGTGTAAACCGACGTTTCGGAGGAACTTATCGCCTCCATCTTCAGGGTACAAAATCAGCGAGCGAGGAACCAGTGTGAGCAGGTGGCACCACAAACCAGAGGACGGCATTCTTCATGTAGGAATTGCGTCCCTCCGGAATGTACGTGAACCGGACCACACGGTGCCACATCCCAGAAGACAGTACGTTCCAAAATAACAGCCATAAAATCCTCCTGTGATGTATCTTTCTTTCCGTGGAAGTTCTTTGAGAAGATACTAAAAAATTAAAGGCCTAACTGTAGTCCCGGACTGAAGACAGAACAAAATTGCTTTGTGTTCCTGCTAAATATTCATGCATAAATATTAAACAGGTTCAGGCTCTTGGCTGGCCTCATACATTCAATACCCACAACTGCTGACTTTGCGTCATCATAAAAGCGGAGCTGTTTTCTCACCGCGTGGAGTGTTTGTGATGTGCGCAGTGGGGCCTCTGAGTTGATGCATTCATGACAAGGACAATGGAATCAATTGGAATTACATGTCTGAGGATGACAGGGAACTGTTACCACTGCGGTAACGGACGCTCTTTGGAGATGCTCCTGAAACGCTTCAATTGACTGGCCAGGATGCGCCCCCCCGCCCCCCCGCCCCCCCAGCGACCGTTGTCATTCCCAAGCGCCACTTCGGTTCAGTTTCGAGCACACATTATATAGACTGTTCCATAACTCGGGGACCAGAAAGATCTGGGTCTCTAGGTAATTAGTGAAAGACAGCGAATTCACAGCAGTCCGCTTTCCTTTCTTACTTTCTCGCTTTCCTTCTTTCGTTCTTCACTTGTCTAAGTCAGCGGGAAGCCTCATTGTTTGTTGTATAAACTTTCGTAGTATTAACTTCTCCTATTTTCTATTGTATTCGTTATCAGCCCTACATATTATCGAACGATACGTCGAGACCGATGTTTAACGCCATCACCCACGAACAGTTCGCGCAAATAATCATAAACCATCTCCTTTTTATAGTAAATTTCATTTCATGTGTACATATCGGAATATTATCAATAATCACAGAATATACACGATACACTGAAAATATTGATCCCTCTTTCGTAACGTACATAATTTATATTTATATTCAATGTGTTAACGATGAGTCCGTTTCTATGGTGATCTAAACTTGCACAATATCAACAACGATAAATCTCGCGCTTGTAAAATACGAGAAGGATTCTATTTTGTGTTATCATTTTACGATTCTGTCAATTGCTAGATTAGGTAACGTCGAAAGGTAGGGTGCCTATGAATTGGAAAGGATAAGGAAGGAACCGGTTGTGTTCTAATCATATAAAGCAGAAAATTTATTGATAATCTGAACGAAAATAAACTTCTCAAGAAGTACTCCAATACCTACGAGTACATACATGTTAGTGGTAGGAAATCCAGCCCTTCAGCTATGCAGAAATATATCAAGTTTTCAGCAGGTAAAAGTAAAGATATCTCTGCATTCAACTAAATAATCACTGCACTGTTAAGACGTATGGCGGAGTGGATGTATAGATCCACGTATTCTTTATAGATAGAGGTGAGTAGTCAGCTTTATGCCCCGGTCGCTTCACCCAGGAAAAAGGACACATAGCACTCATTGGGCATGACGCTGGGTGGGCCCCAGAGCCAGGCTCGACGCTGTGGAGAAGGGAAAATTTCCTATCCTTGATCGGTAAACACGAAGTGACACTTCACATGACGGTGCCTCAGTTTTAACTGCAAGAGTAAGCACACGCAACAATTCCTGGAACATCATTAAATGATAGTTTCATCTGCGATAGCCTTTCTATTCCGTGCAGTTTTTTAAAGCTCCCCTAGAATATTTTTATGAGACAAAACTAATCTTTTCTTAAATTAATCCTTCCAGATATTTTTGCGCATTTTGTTATTTCTCTCCATCCTGTCATGAGTGCAACGGTTATTCCGAAACGGCCAGTTTCAGTTGCATCGATCCTCGGAGGGTCACTCACCAACTGAAGTTAGAGCTTTATGACTGCAATGTCTATGAGGTGCAAGAAAGTTGCAAGAACCAAGTATTGATCAAAATGATTCATCATATACGGAATTTTTTGCCAATGAAATCTGAAAAATCGGAAAGATTATGTGGACAATACTTGTACAGCATCGGAGTGGGGCACGCGGTAGCGTAGTTGGTTGAGGCACTATGCTACAAGCCGGAACGTCGCGGTCTCGATTCCCTTTGTGGTCATTAGATTTTTCAATTGACCTATCCTTCCAGCCGCGCCATAGCCTTGTGGTCGACTCAGCCTCTAGCAGAAATGAGCACCAGGAATCTTCCTGGGGGTAAAGGCCGACCGGCGCGTAAAGCTGACAACCTTACCGCCATCTGTGAGATGATTGTCTAGAAAATATGGGAGCCTCGTCGTCTCACAACCCTATGGACCTCCACGGCCTGTTACAGGGATAGCTTTGCTTTAAATATCCTAAGTTACTTAACAAGGATAGCTTGACGTTACCTTTCCTAAGTTACTTAACAAGTATACCTTGACGTTACCTTTCCTAAGTTACTTAACAAGTATACTTTGACGTTACCTTTCCTAAGTTACTTAACAAGGATAGCTTGAAGTTACTTTTCCTAAGTTACTTAACAAGGATAGCTTGACGTTAACTTTCCTAAATTACTTAACAAGTTACTTAACAAGGATAGCTTGAGACGGTTGGATGATGCATGAATGAAAACGAATCGGAACTGATTTGTAAGGAAGTGGCCATAGCCTAATTAGGTATTTCTCTGGAGGCTCTGAGGAAAATCACCAAGAATCTCATTCAGGATATCCGGTGATTCGGCTGGGATTAAAACCCAGCGCCTCCCTCATAAACAAGTATAGAGGGTTGCCT